TTTCCAGACATCTGCCGGGGCGCCGAATACCCCGCAGCTGGCTACTCCGCCAAAGCCCACGGCTAGATCGATCCACACCCTGTCATAGAAGTCTAACAGGCATAGAAATCGTCTTTGGGAAGGGTGTAACGGCAGCTGCCGGTACGCTTTTGCCCAATCGAAAATCGCCACCATCCAGTGTCCCGGGTTTTCTTGTAAGAACAGTGCTACCCAATTGAAGTCGTCCCACTGGGTTTCATAGTTCCGCTTGTCCACGAAAGAATTCACTGACGGAATCGATGGATTGTTCTTAGGAAACAACAGGTCGTTTATTAACCTGACGGATCCATCCCCATTGATCGCGGCTCCCATCGGGTTTGTTCGAAAGAACCCAAATTTCTCTCGGATTTGCTCTCTCGAGAAGGGTCCGATCAATCTCTTAGCTTGAGCTTCTTTCCAGATTGTAGCTTCTATCTCGCTTCTTGCTTCCCTGGCTGACTCGTGGTTCGGAGGTGTGTACCATTCCAAACCTTCTATCTCGTGTTGAGGGATCCCTAAACAGAAGCCCTCCCTGAACCCGTTGATTATGTAGGGGATGTCTTCATCCAGGACAACTTCCTTCATCAAGGCGGACCACATCGGGATGACCATGTCACAGCGGACTCTTGCAGGCCACATGTTAGTGACTGGCACCGTGTATATCTTTCGCTGGTTCAAAGGCAAGATCTTTGATTTTCTCTCATCGGGTTCTTCTTCCTCTGACTGAGAATCTGACTCTGAATCTGTGTCGGTAGTTCTTTTTCCGTTGCTCAACCGACTCTCGCCTGGTTCCTGAGAAACTGCCAAGACTGGAGTCAAAGCTGCATCTACCACGGACTCACTTTGCTAAATCCACATCACGAAGACGCCAGCAAGAGAGAGAATATGGGAACAAAACCAAACTCAGATTCTTATTTCCTTCTCAACCACCCGACAACATATTTCAGTACGAGACAATCATTTTCTGGACGCGTACCAATACACAAGTAAAGATTTCAACGAAGAGAACAAGAAACAATCAAAGAATTCCACCCCCCCCCAGAACGGACACAGGCTACCGGAGTAAAGCAAAAACATTCGGGTGTCACGGAGCGATTGACCGCAAGATTCAGCATGGTTGAGAATGTAAAACTAGTCAGTTTCTGTTTTTAAAACTTCTTTTAGCGCGTGTTGCGTTAGCTCACTTTGTTTGGGCTGGCGTCACCTTCGCCGGGACATATGCCGGTTTCTGCACCGCTCCTTGAGCTGACGTCTGTGCCTGTGCTCGGGCCTCCGAAGTCTGTGCATCTGTGGGTAGGAATCAGCGCGTGTGCGTCCGAGTCGGGAGAGCGAACCTTGCGTGAGTAAGGAGTCTAAAAAGGGACGGCAGATTACAGTCTGAACTCACGATTCGTCACATTGCTGCTCTTATGGAAAGGGGTGTAGCTACCACCACCTGCTTTGGACTTGCCTTGATAAGAAGGTTTTGAACCCTTCCCCCGGGTCCTTCTTCTGGACTTCCAGTGCTCAGAGTTTCCGTCCGCGCTCGACTGTTCGGCGGGCACCGTCGCTTTGATGGCTGGACGGGGTTTCTCTTTCCCGGTTCTGAAACTATAGCCAAACTTCGGGCCACCCTGAGCGTATGGATTCATCGATCCATATACCAAATCACCAGCCAGCTCCGCGTGCCATTTCGCCACCGCTTCGATCCCTGGTTGGTGACCATCCGGAAGAGAGACGTAAGTGTAAGACACGTTCTTCTTCTTCTTCCTCAATTTATCTAACTCGTCATCCGCTGAATCAGATTCTTGTCGGCGGAATACAGAGGACCGAATGTATAGATGATAGCGGAGAGCTACCATCCAACAGCCATAGCGTTCTCCAATCTGAGTGACGACCTTTACGTGCTTAGGGATCCACTTTGCGTAGTCGACGTGGCCATAAAGGTCTGTCGCGTACCGCCGTTCTAGATTAGAGGCCTCCACGAACTCTCCGAAGTCCATCAACCGATCTCTTTTGATATCGAGGTTGCTCAGCGCTCGTTCGCTCGCCGAGTCAAGGATGTTTGGGTCTGCCGTTCCCAGACTGTCGATGTTTTCTCTGAGGAAAATCGAGAGAGGTACGTAATCATCCATTTTCTTGAAATGTTTCGCCCACCTCTTTGGTAAATTCGGGAGGTCGTAGGCTTTCACCTCTTTATTCCTAAACAAAACCTTCTTTTGTTTAGAAGACCGCCTCGAGGAACTCCTCTCTGAGTGAGAAGAGGAAGCAGAATCCGAGCGTGAGTCCGAGGAGTCTGAGGAAACAGCGTGCGCCCCGCTTCGTTGGTCTGAGTCTGAGTCTGAGTCTTTCGACAAAGAGTCAGAAGAAAGGTGTCTTTTTCTCTTCTTCTTCTGATCGCTCTTTCTTTTCTTCTTGGACTTAGAGAGTTTCGATCTCGACTTGACAATCGACTCTTTCTTCTTCTTCTTCGCCTTCACAGACTTCTCTTTTGAGGATGACTTAGGATCGGGTCCGCCGTATTTATCGTAGAACTTCTTTTTCAAGCGTTTCACACGATTAAGATGGCCTTTCTCCACTTCTGCCACGATCTCTTCAAGCCAGGCCACACGCTCAGAGGATTTGCCTTTCGGCTTCTTCTTCCCCTTCCCGTTGCCACTGCTTGGCTTCTCTCTCGAGGTAACAACAGCTGCCAAAGCTGCCGGAGAGGTAAAATTTCGAAATGGTAAATCAGCTACCGCGACTTCAAAGCACATTCCGCCTCTCTTCACTGCTAGGACAACCGGATCAACGAGCTTCTCGTGAGAACCACTCCTATGTCTCCGGCTGGAGCCTGCGGATCTACAAGTATCCTATCAAAGGTCACTTGGATCTGAACCCCTGAGGGTCTCCCGAACACCCGTAGGGCGGAGTGCAAGCACATCTATGCGGGGGCATTCTCTACCGAATACGGGAGTGTCTCGAAGACGAGAGTGTTTGAGACGCTAACAACTCACATGCGCTGGAGTCACTATCCTCGTCCGTTGAGTCGTCTAGCGAGTCATCTTGGCGAGGGTTCTTCAACTTCTCCTTCCTTTCCTCGGTGAGTACGTTTACGAACTTCCCATTCTTCAGGACTAGTTTGATCGGCGCTTTTGGGGGCTCCCTTTGCAGATCTGCCTCTTCTAATGCGTCGTCTTCGTCGTCCTCCAGTCCATCACCTTCACGTTCACCAGCCTTGCCGTCTTCATCTACATCATGGAAGGAGGTGTCGTTTTCAATAAGGTTGTCGTCTTCAGCTGCTGGACCTGACGTTGACTGGCCCAAATTGGACCCCTTTGCCATTGCTCTAGTTTTGCCCATCTTCTATCTTGATCACTGTTGTATGAGAATTAAAATCTTCTAGATAAACTTCTATGAGAGAGAAAAAGGAAATTAATTCTATGGAATCACTAGTGAAGTTTTTTTTTTTTTTTTTTTTTTGGATGTTGTTTTGTGGAATTGCAGAGCTATTGTAAAACCAACGAAATCTAAAATTGTTTATGAAGATCTTTTTGAAGAAAAGAAGAGGGGTGAGAAGAGCTGAGCAGGAAGTCTCCCAGGGAGAGCTGTGAATTTTGGAAGCGTGGGAGGAGGAAAATTTTTTCCTTTCTCACGCTTCCGAACTTGAAACCCATCAGCTTCTTGGAGAGTCGGTGCGTGCCCCTATGAGAGCACGCGCCCTTCCTGCTTCTCACCCCTGCCCTCAGAAATAGACTCCTGTGTACCGTCGCGGGCTTTGGGAACACCGGTAATACTACTTGCTATTTGTAAGCAAACACGAGTTGCATTAAATCAAACACATTTCAGATCATTGTCAAAAAGTTTGCAGGATGATAGGCCTATGCTAGCTTATCATGACACCAGTGTTAGTTTTGAACATGTTCAAAATTGAAGAAGTTTTATTTGAGTTCCCTGTCTGAAAGATTGACCTGCACAAGTTCATAATTGCTATAAACATCATGATGATACTGCAATGTTGGCTATTATATAACAAAATTGGAACATTGTTAGAACTATGCTGTCCCTTCGTGAAGACACTATTACTTTCATTTTAACTCAAACAATGACAAATGTTCATTTGAGCGCTGTGTCTCAACAAATGGCCCCCACATGTTGTCATTTACTACTGAAATCACCATGAACTTTCAATGAGAATGAGTATGATATCACATAACTTACGGGTTGATAGAGCTAAGCTATTGATTTATGAATGGAGATCAATTGTTTATCCACCTTAAATCACAAGGTTCTGTTAGAACACTATGTCACAACAAATGACCTGCACACAGAGTTTTTTCAATACTTTCGAATGAATCTGTTATGAGCCTATACATTACATAAAATAACCTCGCCTGGAAGTCATTGTATATGATATATAGGCGCATAACTGGCTCATCTTTCTCATTTCCTTCAATCAATCAATGCCTAACTTTTATTCGATGAACAAATCACCACTTGTCAAGATTTCCACGTCAAGATTTCCCGCTCACCTTGGGTTACATTATTTGCCATTGGGTATGGATTGAAAGGTCGAAGTAAGGAGGTTCAAAGTATCTAAGAGCTTAAAATAATAATCAGATAATGTGAATGATAACATATAAAATCTGATTTGTCAAAGACGTGGAGACCCAATTATATCACTGATCAATTTTAATCCCTACCTACCGGTTTGAGCACGGGGTGGACTGTAAAACAAGGGTCAGAAACTCCTACCGGAAACTCCGGTAGGAGTTTCTTCCGGTAGGAGTTTCTGACCCTATTCAAATTGATTAAGTAAGGTTTTCTTAATTTCTTCCAGACTTCCCCTCCGAAAGACTTCATCACTTCGAACTAACAACGATAACATATTCCATAACCGACATCACACACTCACACACTCACAAAATAACTATTACCTCTGCTCTCTCTCATTCCATTTAACACGACTTACTCTTACATTACCTTCAAACAATCTTCAGGTCTACTCTCAATTTGGTTCAGCAATGGCCAAAAAAACTAGCGGCCGCACGACTAGGTCTTCCCGAGGTTCAGTCCAAAAACCAAAGCAATCTGTTGGCCGGAAGAGAGCAAAAGATGTTGAGAACCCCGACGAGGATGAATCCGACTTCCGTGATGATGCGGATCGTGGGTCAAGCAATAGATCCCATTCTGAAAGTGATCACGAACCGACTTCCTCAACCAACCGTTCGAAACGAGTCTCTGCAGCAAAGAAGGGAAAAAAGGGTGGAGGCAAGAAGCCAAGTGACAGTACTGCTAACAACAATCCAGACCCTCAAAATCGGACCAAACAACCACAGGAAAGCAATGTCAACAAAAAGCAGTCTAGTCCCATCTTCCGCTCTCGTCATCCTGGGTTAGAGATGGATACCTTTGAGGAATCACTCAACGATTGGACTCTTGTGGCTCTTCGACAAGATATCGCCAAACAGGCCTCAAAAGCAAATCGAGCACATCCTGATATTGACGCTTTAGTCAAAACTATCAGAATGCAATATGAAAAACGCATGTTGATGGCTGCGCTGATGGGAGGGGTTCCTGAAGCAGTTGTTTGGAAGATTGTGTAACTTTCCCGCGGTTTTCTCTTCCTTACACAAATCAAGTATGTATTGACTGACTAGTTTCTTCATCTTATGCATTCTTTTTGTGCATTGGGCATAGAGGAGAAGGAGGGAAGAAGGGTAATGTGAATTCCTGGATTCGTTTCCTCGGTTTCTGTAAGCGTGCTCTTGAAGAAAAGTGTATGTACAGAATTCTTCAATCTTATTTATGTTCTCATTCCTCCTATCTTATCACTCTATTTATAATGCTTTGTCCTTATTGCTTATAGTACCAGAACGAGCTACTAGGGATGATTGGGTTACCCGGAACAAGAAGCTTGCTAAAGTGTGGAAGGGCTTCACAGACGATGAGAAGACAGTCTTCAAAGATCCTTATTTTTTTGCTCTAGCAAATCTACCCGATCTATCTTATTTCGAACGTGAAGATGCTGAAGATGAAGATGCAGAAGACCTCAGTATGGACCACCTTGACGCCTCCTCGACCGCTCCCAAGGTGCATCAACTTAGCGAAGATGATCGGACGAAATACATGCCTATTTTCAAGGAACTTGTTGATGTTGAAAAGCTGCTTGTGTGTCACGGCCGGCAGGATCCTACTTCTTCTGTAGCAACATTACAGAAGAAGTCATTATCTGAGGTACAGAAAGCTCATCACGATGTGAGTTGATCATCTTTGTCCACTCTATATCTTCACAATATTAATACAAAAAAATAGTTCTCCGTTGTTTGTCAACGTTATCAAATCACCTACTATCTTACTGCCGTCAGTTGTGGTAGTTACAAGGGCTGGTCACAGACTTTTTCAAACGACGTATCTTTTGCTAAATGGGCTGAGACTCACCCTAAAATACCGAGTAAATTTAAAACTTATATTCATGGGAAGACTGTCGGAAAAGAAATTGAAGCGCCCACCAAGGTTCAGCAACCTAGTGATGAGCGCAAAACTAGACTTACACGCCAGTTGAATTCTTTAGTTGGTAAGTCTGGTACCTTGTTCTTTTTGTAAACTTCACCCGGGTAGCTGATTTTATCTGTTGGAATCTAGATGTGGTCTTTAAAGGAAATATATTTCCAAAACTTGAAGATCCACAAGGCGAGATGGTAGAGAGGGGTTGGCCAATTCGCATTGTTCAGAAGCCAGGCAGCCTATTATCACCGGAGTTACTTGAACTGGGCCATCGGCGAGCTAAGGGTTCTACTATACAATTATGGCTGAAAGATATTGAAAGTGGACACTTTGCGATAGAATTAATTCCAGAAGCCGAGCGACAACCCAAACCAAAAAAATCAAAAAAAAAGAAGAAATCAAAACAACAACGATCAGCTAGCTCATCTGAAGAAGAAAGAGACGAACCTACACAATCACAAGCTCCACAAGCTCGAGTTACCAATCAAGGACTCGCAGATAGTGACGATGAAGAACAGCCGAGAGCTTCCTCTGATCAACGATCGCAGGTTCAATCAAAAAAACGAATTCGTGATGATTCCGCTAATCCCGATGACCACCCCGGTCTCCAGCCTCCAAATCATAAACAGAGACATTCCAAAACCCAGACGCCTCACCTTCGAACCGACCAAACTTCGGCCAATGTACGCAACACTGATGAACATGATGATGAAAATAATTCTACATTGGATGGATCACCGATACATGATGGTCAGTACCTTTGAATCATTTTCTTCATACCCTGCTCATCCCTTTCTTACCCACTCATCTCTCATGTTTGACAATGCAGATTAGATTGGATGAAAACACAATCCCTCAGTGTCATTGTTTTTTGTTATGTCTCCCTTTTTTTCTTGTCACTCCTTTTCATTTTATGTTTTTTTTTTCATGTCGCTCCTTTTCCTGGTTTTCTCAGCAAGATTACCTATATATCGACTCTGTTTTGCGAGCTAGTTTCTCAATGTTTTCCCCCTTTCTTCATGTCACTCCTTGGTTGTCTTTTATTCCATGAACGAGATGTCTCTCATGCTACTCTACGTTGATTTTTCATGTTATTTGATGGAATTGTCACTCTTTTACGGTCTCGGATGTTCTGAATGTGCAATCTGTCATGCACAAAAAATAATGATGCAAGAATCTGTGCACCAAGCAGTCTGTCCAGACAAATTGGACATCATGAGGGATGTGAAAATTAAAAGTTTACAATATCAAATTTTTACTCTTGATTGAAGCAGAATATGTGTCGTGGAAATTTTAAAAAGACGTGACTTGTCAAAATTCATAAAATTCCACTTGTCACAAACTAATGGTTTGGCTGTTTATTTTTTATTGTATTGTATAATATGACTGAAAGAATTCATTTTCAAAGCATGTTTGTATCAATAGGTATGAATTCAATGATTGAATCAATCCTTGTATCAATAATTGATTCATTGATTGAATCAATCATTGAACTGTTGTGTCAATTCAAAGCCATCCAATTGTTCAATTGATTGTGTATGTCGGTGATGGCGTTCAGCATGTAGCTGCATGTAGTCAATATGTACAACGGTCATCGTACGACGGTCATTCGAGAGATAGCGGAGGAGAAACGATAAGTCAGTGATGGTCAGTGTGACTTGTAAATGATGTTTTCTAAGATGACTAAATACAAAATTGAAATTGGAGACGTTACCTTGTAAATTCTTGCTGTGTCGAGCATGTAATCAATCTGGTGAAATGAACTCAAAGCGCTTCGGAAAGTAATTGTGTGTGCCAGAAAGGATACAAAACAATTTTGCACCAATGTGGTTTTGATTAGCAGATGTATGTACTACAGGTTGGTGATGATTGTGGAGAAAAAACGGTGAGTGAGTGTTGTCTGCACTAGTTGTCTGAGGAGGGGTCTTTGTCTTGTTGGGAAAGATGAAGAGCAAGTACATATGTAGCTAGTGGGCTGGATGAGTCTGGATGACACTCGGTGGTCTTTCGGAGCGCTCCGACCATCAGTGTGATCTGAGATAGAGTCAGAACAGTCTGACTGTCCACCAGAGCACTAAAAGTGTTCTGACCTTATCTACCAGAGCACTGAGGGTGCTCTGACAGGCGTCCAGAGCGCTCTGAGCACGTATCAGAACACTCTCAGTGCTCTGGTGACTTTACTGAAATTTATCAATTTTTTCAGATACTTTCTTGTGCACTAAAGTGACGGAAATGCATGAATTGAGGGTACAAAACATGTAAAAAGTGAAAAAAAATCTTGGAAAGGGACTTGTAGTGTGAAATGATAGTGCTCCAGAGCATCTGGATTGCTCTGCTGCGAAGCTCCGGCTTGTCAGCCGACGAAGAAGTACATTTCTTCTCTGGCTGTACAGTCAATTTGTACAGGTGCCACAGGTGTTTGAAACCCCTTTGGGAAGATTACAATTAACTAGATTACCTCAAGGAGCAACTAATTCAGTAGCTGTATATCAAGCTCAGATGATGTGGATATTGCAAGATGAAATTCCACAACATGTAGGAATATTTATTGATGATGGAGGCGTGAAGGGACCTGAATCAGATTATAATAATGAAGTATTGAAGGAAAACAATGGTATAAGAAAATTTATTTGGGAATATGCCGTGGTTTTAGAAAGAATGTTGTTCAGGATTGAAGAAGCAGGACTCACTGTGTCTGGAAAGAAGTTTGCTGTGTGTGTACCTGCTTTGGAAATTGTTGGACATATTGTAAGCAAGAAAGGGAGAAGTATATCAATTAAAAAGAAGAATAAAATTCAAAGTTGGCCAATTCCAACAAATAAAACTCAAGTATTAGGATTTTTGGGCACGTGTATATATGTAAGAATGTTTATTCCTAATTTTGGTCATTTGGCAGCACCTTTAAGAAGGCTTACAAGATTGAAAGTGGAGTTTATATGGATTCAAGAGTGTGAAGATGCTTTTAATTTATTGAAGAAGATTGTTGGGGAAGATATAGTATTATCAGCATTGGATTATAATGAAGAAGCAAGTCCAATTATTCTAGCCGTGGATTCAAGTCATATAGCAGCTGGAGGAGTATTAATGCAAGCAGATGAAAATGGGGAAGTCAGGCCAGTATTTTATGAATCAGAAGTATTTACTGAAGTGGAATCAAGGTATTCTCAACCCAAATTGGAGTTGTGTGGCGTGGCAAAGATTCTTAAGAAGTTTAGAACAAAATTATGGGGTCAGCATTTTGAATTACAAGTGGATGCAAAGGCTTTAATTCAGATGATTAACACGCCAAGTTTACCTAATGCTGCTATGACAAGATGGGTAGCTTTCATTCAATTATTTTCGTTTGATTTGGTTCATAAACATGCTAAAAGCTTTGGAATGCCAGATGGATTATCAAGAAGAATGTGTGGAAGTGATTCAGATTCAGCTGAGAGTTTTAATGAGGAGGATAAGGATATTAAAGTATATGAAAGTTTTAAATTGCAGAATGAGGATTTAACATCAGAAGAAAGGAGGAAGAGAGTGGAACAATTTGGGCGCAAGAAGGTGTTTGGAAATATTTACAAGAGTATTTAACAACTTTAAAAAGACCTGAAGGATGCTTGGATGATGAGTTTCAAAGGCTTAAGAATAGAGCTCCTTCTTATTACGTGGAAAATGGAAGATTGAAGAAAAGAGGGGTACCTTATGGAAGATTGGTTGTTTCAAATTTAGAAGGACAAAGGTTCATTTTGGAGAAATTACACGAGGAATTAGGACATAGAGGAATTGAGGAGACTTATAAAAGACGTTTAGTAAGATTCTGGTGGCCTGAAATGAAGGAATTTGTTAGAGATTGGGTATTGACGTGTGAAATATGTCAGAAGAAAAGTTCAAAGAAGGAAAAATAAATGGGAAGAGCAACTGGTGAAAGTACTTTGTTTGGAAGAGTGAGTTTGGATGCAATTCATATTAAGGCGGGTAATTATAATTATGCTATAATAGCTAGAGATGATTTAACTGGATGGGTAGAAGCTGCACCTTTAAAGAAGTTAACAGCACCTGCAGTGGCTAAATTTATTACTAAAGAATGGTTAATGAGATATGGTTCTGTTAAATGTTTTACTGTAGATGGAGGTTCTGAATTTAAAGGGGTATTTAGAGATGCAATTGCTATGTCAGGATCAAAATTAGGGGAATCCACGGCATATTGGCCACAGTCAGAAGGAATGGTTGAAAGAGGTCATAAGGATATTAAAGGAGCTTTGGTAAAATTAAGTGATGAGACTGGGACTTCTTGGGAGACATTTTTACCTCAAGTATTATTTGCAGACAGAATTTCCACGAAAAGAACCACTGGATTATCTCCTTATGAGATGTTATTTAATCAATTAGCAATTTTACCCGTGGATTTAGAAGCTGGAACATTTTTAGGTATTGATTGGGATATTATTTACACTGGAGAAGATTTATTAAAAGCAAGAATGAAACAATTATTGGGAAGGGAAGAATTAATTAAGAAAGCTTATGAAAAGATGATGAAGGCAAGAGTAGATGGAATTATTTATTGGGATAAGAAAAATGCGCATAGATTAAGAAATCCATTAGAGAAAGGAACTTTGGTATTAACTTATAATAAAAGTTTGGAATTTCAATGGGGAAAGTTTTTTAAAAATAGATGGAATGGGCCTTATAAGGTAGTTGAACAACATATGGGAGGTGCTTATATTTTAGAAGAATTGGATGGGACTCAATTATCACAAAAATATGCTGCTGAACATGTTAAAAGGTTTTATCCTAGAGGTGTGGCAATATTAGCAGAAGAAGAGGAGGTGGGCATTGAAGAGGAAGAGGCGCAATTATAAGTATAAATTAACATTAATGATATTACTAATTTCAAAAGATAAAAATATATATAAAAGATCAAAAGAATTAAAAGACCAGAACAAAAATATAAAATAAGATTTAAAAAGAAAAATAAGGATATGTTTCACTAGTTATCAGTATAATTATAATAAAAATTTAAAAGAAGATTAAGAATGTACAAGTTAAAAGATATAAAATTTAAGGAGAAGAAGGAAAAAGGTGTGGATCAAGCCAGCTTGGAAGTTCATAAATAGTAGGGGTATATTCAGAATAATTATAATCAGTATAAGGAGAATTTACAGCAGGAATTACAGGAGGATCATTATTAACATAATTAATTAAAGGAGGTTCAGTATTAGGAGGATTGGTAGAAGGAGTACTGTAGGGGGATAAAATAGCAGCATTTGCACGCTCAGAATGATTAAGGAAAGGAATAAAGGTTGCTACAGTTAGACACTCATCTTCACCCCTTCTTGAAACATACTCAGCTATAGAATGGGCACGCAATAAATGGTAATGATTATTAATTATATTTGGAACTTCAAAGCCTGCTTCTTTGAATTGTCTTATTGTATCATCCAGGATCCTCCAAGAATGCCAGTTCTGATAAGTTATATAGTCTGTCTTCCACGCAAGATTATGTTCATACAATCTTTCGAAAAATGGATCAGATGTGGTGAAGTTGGTTTCAATTGATGAAGTAATGGAAGGATTAGGTGAATCAGGAGCTGAAGGCGTGTTATTTAAATTAATATTATAAGGATTAAGGAAATTTATTCTAATAGGAGTATTAGGCGTGTTTGGTGGAGGATAATTGTTGGCAGGAGAATCAGGTACAGGTGAATTGTTGGATGAAGGCGCTGCAGGGTAGGCTATTAAAATTAAATAAAGAATAAAAGAAAAGAATTAAAATTAGTAAAAGAATTAAATAAAAACATTGAAACTTATTATAAAGAAAAGAAGAAAGAAATAAAAGAAAGAAATTGGAC